ACAAAATGGTTAATTTGCTAAATAGCCATACAACAAAATTATATCTAAAAAAGTAACTAAAAACCCTAGATCCAATGGCTTAGATTTGGCCATATAGGGTGATTTTGGTTATATTTTGAGATATTAGTTTTTTTCTTGGTTAGTTGACCCAATTTCCCATTACAAAATCTACTCCTTTTTTTTTAATCTAATCGACATTTTTTCCCTAAAATTTAAGAAAATGAGTAATTGGCAGATTTTGTGATGACGATAACAAAAATTTCCAAAACTTTTTACACTTCATGGCTATATTCTTAATTATAATTTCCATTTTTGTTATTCACAAATAAACCCTAAAAAAGTTCTTATCCAATCAAAATTGAAAATTTCTTTTTTGTCCAACTTGTTGCTTATATATAAAACGAGTAAGCCCTAAACCACCCTAATCCCATTGAGTGAGTCATAGAGAAGATGAAGAAGATGGATTCCTTGCCAGTTGATCTATGGGCGATTATACTTGTCCTATTACCTCTAAACACCATCACAACTTCAAAATTGGTTTGCAAGCAATGGAAATCAATCGTCGAATCTTTGTTCTTCCGCGAGCTTTTCCTTTCTCACCATCAAAACTCGCATTCTTCTTCATGGTCGCTCATGTACAAGCAAGATTCGATAGAAGTGTTGGCTGACTACGGATGCAAGATTTGGGGTCTTCAACGATCTCTTAACTCTTTCATAACCACCAAATTCGTGAACCACCGCAAGTTATACAGACAAGCCAAAGTCGTGGCATACACTAATGTTGGTTTGGTCTTGATGCGTGTAGTGTGTCGCTTTAGGAACGTATCCTACTTCGTGGCTAATCCGGTTTCAGAAGAATGCGTAGAAACCGATCCTCCATGGTTCCAGCCGATGAATTACTTCTGGCCCTTACTTCTGGCACACGAACTGAGAAAAACGGCGCCCTTACAGGTTTCAAAGTTGTTCTGCTTTTTGATGAATGGCGAAAGAAGTTAGGTTTGCTGATATATTCATCTGAGACTGGCTTGTGGAGTCCCGAAACTGTTCACATTCCTATCTCCTTTCGGAGCCATGATTATCACAATTCCATTAGCTTCAACGGGAATCTTTCTTGGCTCGCCCGAAATAGTAACTATGATGAAGCTGTTGTATCCATCGATTTCTACTCTGCTGGCACGGGTTCTGTTCTTGTTACGCCTTTCCCTGATTTAGAAAAAGTCCCGAAATTTACAACTACTTGTCAAGGGTTTCTCATGTACATGAACGTAGTCTCTGTAACCAAAGATGATGAGAGTGTAGAAGAGAAGTTTAATATATGGAGGCTAAAGAGCGGAGAATGGCAACTAGTATCTGAAATCGCCGGCTGGTTCAATGATATACCGTTGGCAATAAACCCTTTTGATGCCAAGTCAGTCTACTTTTGGAGCAAGTATGGCCAACGTTTGCTATCCTTTAACTTACGCAATGGGGAATTTGTATGCCACAATAAGCTCAAATATAGCAGTGATGGTCGTATTTCGAGTTCCGTTAAAGGCCCGAAAGTTGTGAAATACTTCACTGAGCCAAACTTTTCATCGTTCGTTCTGCCACAATGGCTGCATCGGATCCCGAACATGGTGAGAAAAGTTTAGTCATAATATTTACAAGAGTGCACTTGTCTCTCTATTTTTTATTTTATTTTATTTCCGTATGCAAGAGGAAGAAATTGTAAGGATGGTGCTTGGTTTATTTGTTGAGTCTTTCTGGTTGGTCTAAATAAGAAGATAAGAGAGAAAAAGAAAAAAGGAAAATGGTTACGGTGTTTCCTAGGTTTGATTTCTTGATGATCGTAGAAGATATATTATTTTATTAGACGATTAAGAAACACAAGAAAATACAGAAACAGAGAAATAACAGAGTAGAGTAGAAGTCTTTTACATGCAGCAAAGACCGGGATTCAAATGCCACCCTCATCAGTAGAGAATATGTCGCATAAAATTAAAACATAGCTGAAAAAGGCTAAGGCTGATCTTGATGAGATACCCGCCACCTTATACTTGCCATGCTCCATATTTAGCATCCTTAGTTGCCTTATCATACTTGAAACAAAAGTATTAAGTGTTCATACCCAAAGCTTGTTCGATAATCAATTCAAAGACTTCGTTCTATCTTAACCTTCTTCATACCCTCCAAACAATCAACATCTTTGTCCAATATTTAGCTCCCCAACAATGACCATCTTTACGTTTTGTCTTTGCGTTCCACTAGCTTCTCCCGTGAGAATAGAAGAAATAGTCATGGTCATCGCTAAAATCCGGTGATTTCCTTGGTTTCTCAACTCTCACAACTTGCTTATCCTTAATATTTTGTGCTTTCTTTCGTAGCTCTTCTCCTTTTTGATTGAATCCTTCTTCTCATTGTTCCTTTGGAAACTTCTTTGGTATTAGTTTTAACTTTAACATACACCTAAAAATTTAATGTTCAACAAAGAAAATTAACAAGAAAAACTTGTCCAGTTCACCAATGATGTTCTCCAAACTCAAAAATATGAAAGAAAATCCACCGTTGAGAATAACTAACAATCAAGATACGAATAGCAAATTTATTTAACAAATTTCCAAAATTTTCTTATGATTTACGGATTTCACAGTCATGGACAAACTTTTCACTCATGGTCACACAGACACAACCGCAGTTGCTTTAACGTCCGCTTTAGAGTATGTTGTAATCTTTCTTCTCTACTTATTTTGTTTTAAGGAAAATCAGTAGTGCATTAACTAGTATAAAGTTATAAATCGGAATGAGATAACAATCTCAAAGAACTGAAAAGAAAACATACGATTTTTATTTCATATTTATTCTTGTTTATCTACTACTACTTTTATACATTACTTCTTACAGTTTAGTACATACACGTTCTATAAAAAAAATTATCATGTGTTTCATTGTTTAAAAACAATATGTTAAATATCCCCTTAATATTGTACTCTTTCTTAAACCATGACTATTGTTTTTATCTTTAAGATCATTACCACCATTAAAGCTATCAGCATACATTTTGCAACATGACTATTATCCAATTCATTTTGCATTAGTGATGTATGATGTTATAACTACTAGTTTTAGGCTAAATCCACTTGAAAACAAGTTAAAATACAGTATGAACGAGCTAAAAAGTGGTTGGCGGCCATAGTTAGGGTTTGACAGAAGCTGGGTTGTGTGGAGAAGATGAATCGTAAATTACGATTTTACCTTTTATTGAATAAGTCTATCAAATATTATAAATCTACCGCTACTATAAATAAGTCTACGATTGCGCGAACTATCAATAAGTTTACCGATTATAAAATTAATTTTACCACTACTATAAATAAGTCTACAATATATTATAAATCTACCACTACTATAAATAAGGCTACGATTGCGCGAAGCGTCAAATAGAGTTTTTCCAAAGCATTGACCTATGATATTATTAAAAACTATTAAAAACATCTTAAATAGCTAATTATTTATATATACAAGATTAAAAATGAATTATATTAAATTTTAGTTATTTTAGTTAATATTTATCATTATTTTATTTGTTTTATTATTTTAAAATAATATCAAAATAAAAAAATAAAAATTAGTTAAATATAATTTAAATTTGAAAATATTATAAAAAAATTATGTTATAATTTTATAAATATATTTATATAAAACTAAAACCTAATATTTAACATTAGTTTATTTTTCTATTTGTTAAATAGTATTATAATAAAATAATATTTTAATAAAAGAATAATTAAATAAAAATGTTATTTTAACTTATGACTAATATATATATATATAATGTATTAGAATACATATAAATAAATATAATGAAATAATTTATTTAATTTTATATCTACTTATTCACAGGTCTTCCAATCACTTAAAATGTGCATATTAATCACAGAGTATACTGCTCCTGCAGCA